GCCCAACATGCCATGCCACGGCCTCGGCCTCGGCCCGCATGCCTTGCCACGGCCTCGGCCGCGCATGCCATGCCACCGCGTTGCCCGGCGTGCCATGCCTTAGCCTTGGCCAACATGTCGTGCCACGGCCTCGGCCCGCATGCCATGCCATGCCACGGCCCTCATGTCTTGCCACGGCGTCGCCCAACATGCCATGCCACGGCCTCGGCCTCGGCCCGCATGCCTTGCCACGGCGTCGCCCAACATGGAATACGAACCGTGAAAGCGTGGCCTAACGATCCTTTAGACCTTCGGAATTTGAAGCTAGAGGTGTCAGAAAAGTTACCACAGGGATAACTGGCTTGTGGCAGCGTAAGGCGCAAGGAAGCTGACCGACGGGATCCCCTCGCGGGTTGCACCGTCGACCGACCTTGATCTTCTGTGAAGGGTTCGAGTGCGAGCATGCCTGTCGGGACCCGAAAGATGGTGAACTATGCCTGAGCGGGGCGAAGCCAGAGGAAACTCTGAAGGGCACCACCAGGAGTGGAGCCTGCGGCTTAATTTGACTCAACACGGGGAACCTTACCAGGTCCAGACATAGTAAGGATTGACAGACTGAGAGCTCCTTCTTCATTCTATGGGTGGTGTCGCATGGCCGTTTTTAGTTGGTGTAGCGATTTGTCTGGTTAATTCTGTTAACGAATGAGACCTTAGCCTGCTAACTAGCTATGCGGAGGTGCCCCTCCGCAGCTAGCTTCTTAGAGGGACTATGGGCCTTCAGGCCACGGAAGTTTGAGGCAATAACAGGTCTGTGATGCCCTTAGATGTTCTGGGTCGCACGCGCGCTACACTGATGTATTCAACGAGTCTATAGCCTTGGCCTACAGGCCCGGGTAATCTTTGAAATTTCATCGTGATGGGGATAGATCATTGCAATTGTTGGTCTTCAACGAGGAATTCCTAGTAAGCGCGAGTCATACGTTCGTCTGGCTTCTTAGTCCTTCGTGGTGCGATTCGTTTCGGGCGGCTGGTGCGTAGTGTACGTCGTGGTGCGTGAGTTGTGTTTGGTTTGTGCGAGTTGGATGGATCCCTGCCTGTGCAGCGAACTCCACTGGTGCATTCCTCCATGTCCCTCGGGTGATCGCCTTTAGGTTGTCTTCGACTCGCCTTCGGGTTGTCTGCGCTTCCCTCGTGGAAGGTGCCTTGCGAAAAGCATGTCCCTCGGGTAATTGCCATCTCGTTTGCTTTGACTTGCGAACGAGCTGCCTGTGCTTTCCAAGTGGAAGCTTGCTGCGAAATGTATGTCCCTGGGAAGTTTTGCACGTTGCCTTTGTTACCTGCAGTCGCGCTAACCGGTGCTTGCTCGGCTTCTCTGAATGTTCTCGCATGTTCGTCTGGCTTCTTAGTCCTTCGGGGTGCGGTTCGTTTCGGGCGGCTGGTGCGTAGTGTACGTCGTGGCGCGTGGGTTGTGTTTGGTTTGTGCGAGTTGGATGGATCCCTGCCTGTGCAGCGAAC